TTAAAGGGACGCCTAAGCCGACAGCGACGCCGACGCCGACAACGATGCCGACACCGCCCACAAAAGTAACACATATATGCCGCCTATCTCTAATTGGGTTATTTTGATCATTGAAGTAAGTATGTCAATCTTGACTTTTGTGCTGATTAAAATTGGTAACGAAATTCCTGAAATTTTATACATGCAAATATAAAATGTCGTCACTTTTAAGGCAGCTGGGAACATTTTGGCTCTATGTGCAGTTATTTTCCAATAAATATATCATCTGTCAATAGAAAAGTCTTTTCATTTAAAATCGTCAAAAGAGATAAGCTAAATAAGACTGAAAGCACCAATCTTGTTACACCCTAATACTCAAACATGACAATTTAAATAGTGAATTCCGGAAATAAACTTATCAGACAATCAAATTCTTACAGTTTTATAGCAGTCTCAATATGATTAATATTTCCGCCCAAAACGTTTAATTTCCATCGATCGGTTCAAAAGATACAGAGCGGACAAAAAATGATATTGAAACAAAATGTGTGACCTTGATCTGAGGAAGGTCAAATCTGCGCTCTGCACATTATCTCATTATGGTTAACATTTCTGCTAAGTAGTTTGAATATCCTTCCACCGGTTCAAAAATACAGACCGGACACGAAAACCTACGTACAGAGAGACGGACGTACACTCCAACATTTTGGGTTAAGGGGCTATTTTCTTTGTTATTTTCTATTGTCTGCTTAAAGTGACATTATGCTCATTCGAGGGTATACTGAGTGAACATGTGAAAGTCAGAATAAGTCTTTATATAGCCATGATTCCTTTTAATTCAGTAATTTACTTCATAAAAACAATAAATAATCCCCGGATCGAAACGGAATGTCTGAAAATATCAATTAGAACTTACCTGAAACAAGAGTGGGGCAGTCTTTTTTATATTTTAGGCAGATTTTAAATTTTATGCTAAACATTTTCCAAGATAAACTGTTGGTCAAACACCATTTTAACAGTCAATCTTTTAAAATAAAAAAGTCAATTCAGCTCAACTTGACTATGAAAATATGAGCATAATGTCACCTTAAGGGTCACTAGCCCATAAACCCTTTGATAACGGAATGGACCTATTGTTCTGTTTTGTTCTCTTAACCGTTATATTGCCCCTAGCTTTACAAGCTTTTGTGTATTTGGCAACTTACAAAAACATCTTTTTACTCAAGGGCAATAACGGGAGAGGTGTAAAGGCATTAATGTCTGGCTATATTTAGGTCAACAATTAATCAAGACAATTGCGATCTTTTGTCACATATTCACATACGTTTTACGAGAAACCTTCAATGTGAAACTTTTGTGCTATTCCAAAGTGATAGCCATTTATTCCCTTAGTAAAGAAATGTGTGTGCCGCAAATGAAAGGATCATTGACAGATCAAAGCGAAACGTAATTTTGAATAAGGATAAAAACTGTGACTCCTTATACACAGATATATGTCGAAGATCTAATTTTAAAAGAAGGCAATTATATTACTTGTACATTGAGTAAAGACAGTCTGTTCTTTGTCGTAGATAACCTTGGATATTTCTTATGCACATTTCAAAGTTAAACAAGACAATCTCTGTTAACACTATTCTATCTACAAAACTGGAAATAAACAAATACCAAATGCCCATATCAGTCGATTTCAGATGAGAAATACATGTATGGGAAAGTTACCGAACCGCGGCACACAAATGAACGTTTGTTATTGGAAATCTACTATTTTAAAATCTTTTCTTATTACAGAACTAAAATTTAAGTTCTACGCCTAAAGGTTATTGGGAGAAAATATAACTTTTCAGAGGCTATTTTGTTTACCGAAGGTTGGGGTAAGCGGTGATTTTACGGCGAGACTTCGCTTCGAACAAACATTTGAAAAGAATACATCTTGTTTAGGAGTAATAAACAATAAAACATCTCCTGTTAGACCCTGAGTGCCTTATGACAGTTAAATGATGTTAAATTAGTGAGTGTTGATAGAAGATCTGAGCACATTAAACATATTGAACAGACTCAGTCAAACCGTGTATATATATATATGGTATTGTTGTTTCCATTGCTTCCGAGGGATTACACCTTTTTCTGATTTTAATGGGCATTATTTAGTAAAGTTTTCTACGAGGTTTTCATGAATTTCATACGATTGCAAAACAAATTAAATAATCCAGAATGACAATTAGTTCGCTCGCTTTATAAGGAGAGCGAAAGATTAACATATATAAGCACCTCGAAGAAATTTCAGTACTTACCTCGCTTTGTGTGTAAGTTCTTTCTTGTCCTTTACTGAAATATGGGAGTATTTGAACAGGTTCTTCTGTATCCGACAACGTGTCTTCTACAATCATCTAAAATGTATAAGTATTCAGATTTGAATGATTTCGTAATAATTTAACATTTTAGTCGTTGTATATAACGCTTCGGCAATAATTACTGTTTCAAACCAAACTATTTCGGTATGATGTTTGTATTAAATATAGAATAAGAAAATATATTAGTGTTTGTAACTTAAAGTTTGACGTTAAAATGTTTTTAAAATTACATCAATCATCACTGAATATGGTTTCTACTCGAATTGATCTTTGACATCGATTGATAATATATGTACCGTTTCTTGCGTATTTTGCCAGGTAGGTGTTTCAAAATGTCCAGTCTGTTCATTTGATCTGTTTTCACTTTGCTGAAACATATTTATAAGAGATTGATTCACGACATAATATGGCGGGATGGTGATAACTGGCCAAAAAAAGAATAATGGCGCCGAGGGCATTTATTTTCATGGAATGAAATTGTAGCAAATGCTTTTTAAATGTCAATAAAGCTGTGTTTGAAGAAATTACGCTTATTTTCTTTTGTTATAAAATCAAGCTATTCGTGCTTCAATCCTACTTTCACTTTGACCGCTAGCTGTTTTGATGACGTAAAATGTGACGTGATTGTGTCAGTTTGTGCGCGTATTCGTATTCAGCAGGCCGATTATGATTATCAGTGATCGGTCCTGGACCGCAACTGATAATCGGTCACGTGTTACACATAATTAGTTGAAAAGAAGGCACTTTTGTAACTATATATAGTAACATGGGTATTAATCAACATTAATAAATGCATGAAAAAATTGTTATAAACATTACGTTGTGATATTATTCTATACATTGCACAAAAAAATGATTACAGTCGAGGCGTGATTAGTGTGAATCAAATTGTCCAGTCTGTTCATTTGATCTGTTTTCACTTTGCTGAAAAATATATATCAACATTAATAAATGCATGATAAAATTGTTATCAACATTTTGTTGTGATATTATTCCATACATTTCACAAAACATTGATTATAGTCGAGGCGTGATAAAGTTTGTAGATGGAATATTGTGATTTAAAGCAATATGTCTTTTTGTTATTTTATTCAGAACTTTTGAAAATTAGTAACTACCATATCACGTGTAAGTTGTCGGCTCCCTGATTTTGATTCATTATATCCATGCGTATATCCATCTTCACGTGAGGCTGTGGCTGTTATCTGTAAGATAAAAGGAATGACTATTTTCAAATATTCTACCATTTAAGAGTTCTCTCATTTAATAATAATAGCAGCACAATTTGTTATTTCATAATGGAAATAAATCACTGATGAATACGAGTTCACATAAGGGTTTGGTAATCTTAAACGAAGAGTTTAAATATGTTTTCTCATACTACATTTACTCTTTTATAAATTGATTATCTCTAGAATATTTGTGCACATGAACAGGGCACGTATAATTATTCAAATATCTAAAATATGTACTTCGCTCTGTGTCAATTGTGGGGTAGGGTTTCCAGAGGGAATTTCCTCTTCTTTTGATATACTAACACTTTCCTGAAAAGGTGTATATGAACTTTAACGGGGATATGCCGACAACATAACCGTTTACACTTTATATATAGAGACTGAATGATGTTAAATAAATCGTCCTTAGTTTTACATTTGATATATATTGTCCATTATTGTTCACCTCTGATAGATTTGTAATTTCTTGCACAGCAGACTGGCATTTCCGTGAGTTTTACCCATGCCGGAAATTTCATCTGGCATGGGGATGCCAAATGAGTCGCGTGCCATAAAACAAAGTCATTTGAGCGCACTTTTTGTATGAACCGCGTTAAAATGACGTCATTTTAAAAGAGAAATATGTGCTTAGGATGACGCCATTTCGCCGTTGTTATTTAAGTTGTAAGTTCATACGCTATTGTAAGAAAATAGTTATGGATGAAATGACTTTGATTTCCATGAACATATATCATATTGAGGTAAACCATTTTAAATATGAAGTAATATTGCAGAATATGCAAGGAAAAATATCTGACATATGTTTGCGGTTCAGATCGGAATATCCGGTTACCGCCAAATGGGTGAGTCCCCTCGGGACAGATATTCCGGTCTGAACCGCAACATATGACTGATAATAGTATTCGTACTTAAAGATCATCCGAAGCATGAATGTATCTTAAGGTATACACTCATTCAGTTTGTCATTTCAGATAATTATTATTTCAAGTACTTGGAGCAAATGTGTTAATGTTGTTCAGCTAATTAAATTCTATAGCAATATAAATAATGACACCCCTCTAAAATCAGCATATTTTTCCATCACACACATCAACTAAAATACTTGCATTACAGATGAGTAACGATTGTCAAATAATATTTGGTAGTTATTTAATAAAACTTTAAAATGTTACCATATCACGAGTATGATGCTTGTCCGCCATTTCATTATGAGCCGATTCTAAATTCTGCAATAAAATATTTGTATATTAAAGTCAGATATCTGAGTCCTTTATATAGTAGACAAACAATTCATTGATTATTGGTGAGTATATGTGAACTCATAATAAGGTATGGAATCGGAAATGAAACATCCGGTATACTGCTGACAAAGACTAGACAATTTTGGTTGCAGCAGAATAAGTGGTAAATTCTAAAACTAGACTTATATATGTACCGTTTCTTGCGTATTTTGCCAGGTAGGTGTTTCAAATTGTCCAGTCTGTTCATTTGATCTGTTTTCACTTTGCTGAAAAATATATATCAACATTAATAAATGCATGATAAAATTGTTATCAACATTTTGTTGTGATATTATTCCATACATTGCACAAAACATTGATTATAGTCGAGGCGTGATAAAGTTTGTAGATGGAATATTGTGATTTTAAGCAATATGTCTTTTTGTTATTTTATACAGAACTTTTGAAAATTAGTAACTACCATATCACGTGTAAGTTGTCGGCTCCCTGATTTTGATTCATTATATCCATGCGTATATCCATCTTCACGTGAGGCTGTGGCTGTTATCTGTAAGATAAAAGGAATGACTATTTTCAAATATTCTACCATTTAAGAGTTCTCTCATTTAATAATAATAGCAGCACAATTTGTTATTTCATAATGGAAATAAATCACGGATGAATACGAGTTCACATAAGGGTTTGGTAATCTTAAACGAAGAGTTTAAATATGTTTTCTCATACTACATTTACTCTTTTATAAATTCATTATCTCTAGAATATTTGTGTACATGAGCAAGGCACATATAATTATTCAAATATCTAAATTATGTACTTCGCTCTGTGTCAATTGTGGGGTAGGGTTTCCAGAGGAAATTTCCTCTTCTTTCGATCTACTAACACTTTCCTGAAAAGGTGTTTATGAACTTTAACGGGGATATGCCGACAACATAAACCGTTTACACTTTATATATATAGACTGAATGGTGTTTAATAAATCGTCCTTAGTTTTACATTTGTTATATATTGTCCATTATTGTTCACCTCTGATAGATTTGTAATTTCTTGTACAGCAGACTGGCATTTCCGTGAGTTTTACCCATGCCGGAAATTTCATCTGGCATGGGGATGCCAGAAGAGTCGCGTGCCATAAAACAAAGTCATTTGAGCGCACTTTTTGTATGAACCACGTTGAAATGACGTCATTTTAAAAAGGAAATATGTGCTTAGGATGACGCCATTTCGCCGTTGTTGTTTAAGTTGTAAGTTCATACGCTATTGTAAGAAAATAGTTATGGATGAAATGACTTTGATTTCAATGAACATATATCATATTGAGGTAAACCATTTTAAATGTGAAATTATATTGCAGAATATGCAAGGAAAAATATCTGACATATGTCTGCGGTTCGGATCGGAATATCCGTCCCTAGGAAACCCGCCCATGTGCGGTAACTCGGCAAGCCAGGTTACCGCCAAATAGGTGAGTCCCCTCGGGACGGATATTCCGGTCTGAACCGCATTATATGACTGATATTAGTATTCGTACTTAAAGATCATCCGAAGCATGAATGTATCTTAAGGTAAACACTCATTGAGTCTGTCATTTAAGATAATTATTATTTCAAGTACTTGGAGCAAATGTGTTAATGTTGTTTAGCAAATTAAATTTTGTAGCAATATAAATAATGACACCCCTCTAAATCAGCATATTGTTCCATCACACACATCACCTACAATACTTGCGTTACAGATGAGTAACGATTGTTGAATAGTATTTGGTAGTTATTTAATAAAACTTTAAAATGTTACCATATCACGAGTATGATGCTTGTCCGCCATTTCATTATGTCGTTGTGAAGTGACATTTACATTATGAGCCGATTCTAAATTCTGCAATAAAATATTTCTATATTAAAGAAGTTTCTTCAAATCAGATATCTGAGTCCTTTAGATAGGAGACAAACTATTCATTGATTATTGGTGAGTATATGTGTACTCATAATAAGATATGGAATCGGAAATGAAACATCCAATATATTGTTGACAAAGACTATACAATTTCGGTTGCAGCGGAATAAGTTGTAAAATTCTTAAACTAGACTTATATATGTACCGTTTCTTGCGTATTTTGCCAGGTAGGTGTTTTGAAATGTCCAGTCTGTTCATTTGGACTGTTTTCACTTTGCTGAAACATATTTATAAGAGATTAATTCATGACACAATATGGCGTGAAGGGGATAATTGGCCAGCAAAATGAATAATGGCACCGAGGGCTTTAGCTTCAAGGTATTTTTTATTTCAGGGCCGATTATCACCTCTGACCAATCTATGACGCTGATTAATGTCTTTAATACACTTGATAGATCTAAAATCTACTTTTATATCTTTCGTTGAAATTCCTATCTCGGTAGATTTCAACTAAACTAAAACATAACTTCTACAGAATTGCTTCCCTTATGTGTATGTAACAGAATCTAGAAGCAAGATTTATTTTCATGGAATGAAATTGTAGCCAATGCTTTTTTAAATGTCAATAAAGCTGTGTTTGAAGAAATTACGCTTATTTTCTTTTCTTATAAAATCAAGCTATTCGTGCTTCAATCCTACTTTCACTTTGACCGCTAGCTGTTTTTATGACGTAAAATGTGACGTGATTGTGTCAGTTTGTGCGCGTATTCGTATTCAGCAGGCCGATTATGATTATCAGTGATCGGTCCTGGGCCTCAAACTGATAATAGGTCAAGTGACACACATAATTAGTTGAAAAGAAGGCACTTTTGTAACTATATATTTAGTAACAAGTGTATTAATCAACATGTATAAATGCATGAAAAAATTGTTATCAACATTATGTTGTGATATTATTCTTGACATTGCACAAAAAATTGATTACAGTCGAGGCGTGATTAAGTTTGGAGATAGAAAATTATGATTAAAGCAATATACATGTATCTTTTTTATTTTTATACATAACTTTTGAAAATCGTTACCTACCATATCACGTATAAGTAATCGGTTCTCTAATTTCGATTCATTATATCCATGCGTCAAGTCATCTTCACTAGATGCTGTCGCTTTTGCCTGTAAGATAAAAGGAGTGACTATTTTCAAATATTCTACCATTTAAGATTTCTCTCATTTAATAATAATAGCAGCACAATTTGTTATTTCATAATGGAAATAAATCACTGATGAATACGAGTTCATATAAGGGTTTGGTAATCTTAAACGAAGAGTTTAAATATGTTTTCTCATACTACATTTACTCTTTATAAATTGATTATCTCTAGAATATTTGTGAACATGAGCAGGGCACAATTATGCAGATAAATCCCAATTTAGACTTAAATATGTACTTCGTTCTTTGTAAATTGTGGGGTAGGGTTTCCAGAAGGAATTTCCTCTTCTTTCGATCTACCAACACTTTCCTGAAAAGGTGTATATGAACTTTAACGAGATATGCCGACAACATAAACCGTTTACACTTTATATATATAGACTGAATGATGTTGAATAAATCGTCCTTAAAATTATATTTGATATATATTGTCCACTATAATTTACCTCCGATAGATTTGTAATTTTTTGCATAGCAGACTGGCATTTCCGTGAGTTTTACCCATGCCGGAAATTTCATCTGGCATGGGGATGCCAGATGAGTCGCATGCCATTCAACAACGTCATCTTTTTGAATGAACCGCGTTAAAATGACGTCATTTTAGAAAGGAAATATGTGCTTAGGATGACGCCATTTCGCCGTTATTATTTAAGTTGTAAGTTCATACGCTATCATAGGAAAATAGTTATGGATGAAATGACTTTGATTTCCATGAACATATATCATATTGAGGTAAACCATTTAAAATATGAAATTATATTGCAGAATATGCAAGGAAAAATATCTGACATATGTTTGCGGTTCGGATCGGAATATCCGTCCCTAGGAAACCCGCCCATGTGCGGTAACTCAGCAAGCCAGGTTACCGCCAAATGGGTGAGTCCCCTCGGGACGGATATTCCGGTCTGAACCGCAACATATGACTGATATTAGTATTCGTACTTAAAAGATCATCCGAAGCGTGAATGTTTCTAAAGATATACACTCATTCAGGATTGTCATTTCAGATATTATTATATCAAGTACATTTGGGAGGCAAATGTGTTGATGTTGTTCAGCTAATTTTAAATTCTATAGCAATATAATAATGACACCCCTTCTAAAATCAGCATTTTTTTCCATCCCAACACATCAACTAAAATAATTGCAGTTACCAATGCAGTAACGATTGCCAAAATAATATTTGGTAGTTATTTTAATAAAACTTAAAATGTTACCATATCACGAAGTATGATGCTTGTCCAGCCAATACATTTACGCCGTTTGGAAAAGTTACATTATGAGCCGATTCTAAAAACTGCAATAAAATATTTGTATATTAAAGAAGTTTTTCAAATCAAATATCTGAGATTCTTAAGATAGGAGACAAACAATTCATTGATTATTTGGTGCAGTATATGTGAACTCTAATAAGCTTTTGGAATGAAATGAAAACATCCGGTATACTGCTGACAAAGACTAGACAATTTTTTGGTTGCAGCAGATAAGTGGTAAATCTAAAACTAGACTTATATATGTACCGTCTTCTTGCGTATTTTGCCAGGTAGGTGTTTTCAAATTGTCCAGTCTGTTCATTTGATCTGTTTTCACTTTGCTGAAAAATATATATCAACATTAATAAATGCATGATATAAATTGTTATCAACATTTTGTTGTGATGTTATTCCATACATTTCACAAAACATTGATTATAGTCGAGGCGTGATAAAGTTTTGTAGATGGAATATTGTGATTTAAAGCAAATATGTCTTTTTTGTTATTTTATTCAGAACTTTTGAAAATTAGTAACTACCATATCACGTGTAAGTTGTCGGCTCCCTGATTTTGATTCATTATATCCATGCGTATATCCATCTTCACGTGAGGCTGTGGCTGTTATCTGTAAGATAAAAGGAATGACTATTTTCAAATATTCTACCATTTAAGAGTTCTCTCATTTAATAATAATAGCAGCACAATATTGTTAATGGAAATAAATCACTGATGAATACGAGTTCACATAAGGGTTTGGTAATCTTAAACGAAGAGTTTAAATATGTTTTCTCATACTACATTTACTCTTTTATAAATTGATTATCTCTAGAATATTTGTGTACATGAGCAGGGCACATATATTCAAATATATCCAGGTTGAGACTAAAATATGTACTTCGTTCTGTGTCAATTGCGGGATAGGATTTCCAGAGGGAATTTCCTCTTCTTTCGATCTACTAACACTTTCCTGAAAAGGTGTATATGAATTTTAACGAGATCTGCCGACAACATAAACCGTTTACACTTTATAAATATATATAGACTGAATGATGTTTAATAAATCGTCCTTAATATTACATTTGAAATATATTGTCCAATATTGTTTACCTCTGTTAGATTTGTAATTTCTTGCACAGCAAACTGGCGTTTCCATTTGTTAAACTCTGGCCAGAAATTTCATCTGGCATGGGATGCCAAGATGCGTCGCGTGTCATACAACAACGTTATTTAAGCGCACTTTTGATAAAAAAAACTGCGTTAAAATGACGTCATTTTAGAATGGAAATATGTGCTAAGGATGACGTCATTCATTTCGCCGTTGTTATTTAAGTTGTAAGTTCATACGCTATTGTAAGAAAATAGTTATGGATGAAATGACTATGATTTCCATGAACATATATCATATTGAGGTAAACCATTTTAAATATGAAATAATATTGCAGAATATGCAAGAAAAAATATCTGACATATGTTTGCGGTTCGGATCGTAATATCCGTCCCTCGGGAACCCGCCCATGGGCGGTAACTCGGCAA